CACCAAAAGCGAGGAACGTAGGGTGTACAGTAAAGCTAGTTTAAAAGGTTGGCCTAATTACGAACAAAAACACGGCTAAAAGCCTAGTTAAATCGGCAAGGTGAATAAATGCTGAAAAGATAATGACTTTGACTTAAGGAGGATTTTCTTCAGAGGCACCATTTATCTGGACGCTCCCCGATTTTGATTGTTCTCTTCTGTTTAGTCTTATCTTCGGTGATGATAGAATTGTGTTTACTAACTGACATGAAGGATCCCACATGATTGTTCTCTAACCTAACAGCATTCAAGTCGAACAGATAATCAGATTCAAAGAGTTGCAATCGTGTGCATTTGATGCAGACATTCTGGACTGGCACCATAATGACACCTCATACTGCCTGCTGTTGGCAAACAACTTTGGCATAGCGGAGACTGATTACTACATACACGGCACTGGTGAAGGAATGTTTGCCACCAAGGATTATGCCGAACGAAGACTTTTAGCCCCTCATCTTCTCGCTGAGCCCTCCTGAATTTGTAAGAATCGATCAGGGGCTCAAGAACAGCGACGCAGTCACTCCATCGAACGGCAAAGTCGCAGCTCTGCAGATTCTGAGCGTTTGATCCCCGTGTTTTAAACACTCGTGAGACTAACCGGTAGAGAAGTGGTGATTGATTGCGAGGAACTTTATAAACAGCTTTGTTTATCAAGGCTTCTGCAAGACGGAGAAACGATAGGTTGAGTCTCGGCATTCGGGTGCACGGGGAAGGAGCAGAGCTGTAATTACTTCCAGGATATTAAGTCCTCCATGCTTTTCCTTGTCTCTTTTCGGATAAATTGTCCCTGCCTCTCGTTGAGCGAGCTCCCTGCAACAACAGTGACACGCTATCATTAAACTGTATTAAAGCACATTTACAGGCAGGAGGGTTGCTCTTCATTCGGGACCTGCACGTATGATGATTTATCATTACCGGTCTCCGCCAGAAGCTCTAGTGTGGACAAAATTACAAGTTCTCTGATGAATGTGCTAGGTTTTCGATTAATCAGGAAGAGTTCATTTCACCTAATCCTTCAATGCAACCGTCCTAATAGAGTCAACGCTATAACTCAGTAACTAGATGGCAAGGAAAATATCTGCACTGCTATAAATCTCGAGAGATGGGTTTCTTAAAATTGCATGCAAATTCCCCACTGACTAACTGTAACCTTACACTCTACAAAACACAAAACAACTAATAATGAACTTGCTGAGGCCCCCAAGAGGGATCGAGATATGACAGTCACTTTGAATTCATTTTAAGTCAAAGCAGGCCCTTAACAAAATGAAACTTTCGATCCACAAACAATTAGATAGTGAATCGCACTTAATTACAGCTCGCTGTGAACTGTTTAAATCCAATATGCATGTAAAATGGGAAGTTAATTGAAAAAGTGCTTGACATTTGCACTGCTGTGCAGCAGCAGCCAGAAAACAAGGCAAGCTGATTTTTTTCTTGCTCTTGAAACTAAGCTGCAAAAAACAGAACAGTTTAAGCCTGATATCACAACCATTTGCTCATGAACATGTGACTAGTGCTGTCAAATGATTAACTGCGATTAATCGCATCCAAAATAAAAGTTTTTCTTTACATAATGTGTGTGAACTCATGTTTTTATGTATATATAAATACATACGCATGCATGCATATATTTAAGATTTTTTTTTATAAATATATATATATATATATATAATATTTATATTTAAATATAATTTAAATTATATATGAATATAAATGCATATATACATGTAACTATTTAAAAAATATACATACATGTGTGTGTATTTATATACACATACATTTACACAGCACACACACATATATTATGTAAACAAAAACTTTAATCATGGATTCACGAATATCACGATTAATTGTTTTGGCAGCACTACATGCGGCTGCCCAAATTGACGTACAAGCACATATTTAGTATTCAGTATTCATCCTGCTAATAATATAATGCTTTAATAAACACACGCACAAAATAGATTTTGAGAGGTAAGCCAATCATAAGAATTCTTTCAGGTGACAATATTTCTTTCTATCCCAAACTGTCGACAGATAAGTCATTTTTCTGTCACTCTAGCACTGAAGAATCTCAGAAATGGAGAATCACAGTGAAGTACACACTCAAGAACACGAGTTTAAAAGCTGTATTAGCTTAGAAGTTTGAACGGTAAGCCAATCAGCCACATGCCCCTAAGAGCCCACACAACAAATTAAGAGTTTGTCTGCTCGCAGTTATTCACACAGACAGCGAATCCATTTAGTTTCGGCTGTTTGAACCACCTGAGGTGGAACGAGACAAAACATTAGGAGCTGATAGTTGCCGCTTTTTAATTTAGCAGCATAATGAACGTAACAAGCGTGAACCACCCTGGTTCCCCTCTGAGTTCTTTGCCATTTCTTTTACTTTTATTTATTCAGTCATTTTCGAAAGACAAGAGGAAAGCGGGGATGAAATATTCTTTGCATTTGTTCTAGTCGTAGCGGAGTTAGTGAATATATCCAGGGCAAATGAAAGTTTAAGATGTGTTGCATACAGAATTCGATTTTTTTCATTTTCTGAGGAACGCATGCAATTAATACTTTAGCATTCAGCAAGGATAAGTTACACTGATAAAAAGTGATAGTACAGACTTGTACAGTTACAAAATACTTCTGTTTGAAATAAAAGCTGTTCTTTTGAACTTTTTATTCAAGTTCAAGTTCAGTTTATTTATATAGCACGTATAAAAAACAGCCACACAACTGGCCAAAGTGCTGTACAGAGGTTCAACGAGTTAAATAAAGATACAGAAATCAGCATAACTAAATAACACAATTAAGACTAACTGTCAGGTCTAGGCGCAATGATATGAATAACTAAATAAATATGTTAATAAAAAAAGGGGAACAACGTATAGACACTTGGAAGACAAAATACTAAGCAACGACCATAACATAAGATTAATTATAAGCAAGGGAAAACAGATACGTTTTTAGGAGAGATTTAAAAGTGGTCAGAGAAGGGGCTAATCTAATCTCTAAAGGCAGGTTATTCCACGACCGTGGCCCAACCACCAAAAAAGCTTGATCCCCTCTGCGTTTGAGTCTGGGACTAAAAGAAGATTCTGGTCGCTTGATCTTAAGCTTCTGGAAGGAGTATATGGGTGCAGCAATTCAGCTAAATTAATGGGGGCTTGATTACGTAAAGATTTCTATACAAATACAATAATTTTTAAATCAATTCTGAATTCAATAGGGAGCCAATGAAGGGTCCCCAGAATTGGAGTAATGTGAGCGCTTTTACGGCTATTCTCTAATCTGGCAGCAGCATTTTGCACTAGTTGAAGGCGAGCAATTTGAGACTTCTTATTCATCAAAAATAGTATCACAGGTTCCAAAAAAATATTAAGCAGCACAACTGTTTCCAGCACTGCTCATAAATCATATTAGAATGATTTCTGAAGGATTATATGACTGTAATGACTGCTAAATATTCTGCTTTGCCACCACAGGAATAAATGATAAATTAGGTTTAAAACCTCATTATTGGAAGGGAGAAAGACAACTAAAAACTACAGGGTGGCAAGTACATAGAACAGACTGACCAAAGAGCTTGTTGCAATTTTAAATTAAGCGTGAATAAAGCCCAGAAATAACCAAAGGATCATATAGATATTGTCTGTGTTCATGTCCAGCTAGCGTGCATCACAAGCTATTAATATGCACAACTAATAAAGCCAGTTTGAAGGTGTTCATCATAAAGAAGGAACAAGCTAATTTCATGGACAGCGTAATATATAGCCCCTTTTTAATTAAGCCTCACATTTGCGTATGGTGGACCTCATAATTGCACATAACTCCATGTTTTCCGCTTCACGTGTTGTAGAGATAGCAGCGGCCTGCCCTGGGGTCTTGCACGAAGGCTTCAGCGGGTACTTGTGCAGTCAACACTCTTCCAAAGATAGCTGGCTGGCATGCGCGCACACATATTAAAGCGCTGCTTTGTGATTCAACTAGCTCCCGTTCTGCCGTAAACTCCATTTAAATCAAGCCATTAAAACTCCAAAGTGGAAGATTGATTTCTCCGATTTCTCCTTCCATCCAGGCATAAACGCGTTATCAGAGCTCACACCCGACTGCGTCTTAGCGGTTAGAGAGGACTATGAACTGCCATGTTAAAGCTTTGAGACACAAGTGAGACTGCAAAACGTAATAACAACAGAGTGAGTTCAAAGATGTCTATGTGTTTATTTAGAGACGACTGCAATGAAGGTTATGACTGTCTATGTCCTGAATCAGGTAGCATGGGAGAATAGGTTAAGATAACAATTGTCGACAAACAAAGTGATGCTCCCACTGGAAGAAGAGTCAAGCTGTGTTTTGTAGCATTGTGAGAGCTTGAAACATTGTAAACAGCATTTTAAGGCAGAATTCTTAATACAAAGTCTGTTCAAAATGTCAGACAGCAACATTACTAAGATATCTTTGGCTAAAATATAAGGTTTAACTGCACATATTGCAGAAGGTGGCGGCAATCCCAGAAAGCATCCAGTAAGCAAGCTAAAAAAAAATGTATGTTGTCAATAGGGTTTGGAAAAGTTGTATTGAGATATACACGTACACAAATTTCTCTTGTTTTGGATTTGTATTTTAGGGGGCAGTATAATTATGCTTTTGGAACATCGTGTTAGGAGAAAAACAAAGATGCCTGTGTGATACAGTCATCGTCCTTTAACAAGGGACTGCTGAAATAGTTATTTAGATTATTCATGAATAAAACGAGTATATGTTTTTGTATTCTACCAGGCATTTGCGACAACAGGGCTCCAAAAAGCGAAACGAAATCCCATCGATAAAGAGAGTAAATTGGTAATCACAGACAAAAGAGGGAAGAGGTTCTCGGGCCGTTAGCTGCACCAAAGGCTTTCTCATTACGTGATAAACAAACCCCTAATGAGAGCTCATTTGCTGCATATTGCCCTCACTAAATGGCATCAGGGGTTGACATTTGGCTGTCTGTAACCTGCCGCGCTACTCCGCAGGGAAGACGCGGGCAGCTCATAGCCAATGTTCAACTGCACATGGCCTTGTGCCTCTTTCATTCGGATCTTTACCTGCCTCGATGTGATTTTAAGTATGAAAAAAAACAGAAGTCATTAGTATCGGCAGTACAATGCAGTGAATACGAGGAGCTTAGAGCACAGATAGTGCCAGCCATTATGCCTCCACGCTCACTTACCCAAGCATTAGAGCTTCATCAAAACACAGCAGCGTCCAATTTATTTTCTTTCATTGTTTTTTTTTACCGCTTTTTTGCTTCAAAAGAATTGACTAGTTGAGCGCAGAGTCTTATAACTGGAGCTTGTATTTCTCAAGTGGAGAACTTATGCATTAGACACTGATACTTATGAAGGACACAATAAACTACTGAGCACAAACCAAGGCGTGAAGGTTTAGCTAGTTAGCATGGAATGTTTAGAGCAGGCATATCCAAATGGCGGACGGTGGTCCGGGTGAGGACCTCGGCTTGGTTCTAACCAGACCAAGGCATAACAGCAATGGAAGCACCATTTTACCATTTCTAAATAAAGTAAGCAGCACTTCAAAACAAAGGAGCGGTTTTCACCACAAGCGCTCAGGGCCGTTTATTGTAATGATATTTCGCCGTTATCGTAATATTTCGTAATATTTTTTTCCATTCAAGCCCATCCTGTGTGCGTTGCTTCTCTATAAAGACACTAAAGTGCCATTAAGAGCTGCAGATGATGCAGTTATTTTAAAAACAGAAGCAGAAACATAATGAGCAGCAAAATAGGTCAATACTTTTGCTAAAACACTGCATAAAACAATGCTGAAAATATAGTTATTTTTACAGATTATATATATATATATATATATATATATATATATATATTTTTTTTTTTTTTTT